CCTAGCACTACAGTGGGCATCCATTTACCTCTCTGAGCCTCAATTTTTTTTCTCCCAGGATAGTCAGGCTAGAAACCATTCTGAGTGTTCATGGGCTGAACACTGAGTGTGGAAGTAGCCACTTCCTCTTTGCCCTGATGCCTCAGGTACAGCAGAGCGGAGCCTCAATTTTTTCATCTATCAAAGTGGAAAACACTCACGGCCGTGAATTTGAGTCTGGCTCTTGGCAACCTGCCATCAGCTTTCCAAGGTTCTAAATCTTCACAGGAGGAGACTTCCCACGTTTCTCTCATCCAGAACCCTGGGAGACTGAAACCACTGACCCAACGCAAAGTACACTACATCGCCAGGGTGTCCTCATAAGACGGAAGATAGAAGATGATTTCTCTAAGTGAGGAAATGGCTCTGAATGAGATTTGGAAGTGGTTTAAACATTAGCAAACATTATTATTAGTGAAGCCGTCATCCAGAAGAGGGAAGACAGGGAACTTGGGATTCCAGCCCGTGGAGATATTACAAAGCACACGCAATGGTCGCAGCGGTATACAGTCCATAAAAGAGGTCCCAGCCCAGGTCCATTTATAACCCTGAAGCTTCCAGGGCACGTCTTACCAAGGGTTCGGAGACCTTGTGCTGCTTCTAGCCAGGCCTGCTACTGTCATCCCATGTCTGTCTATTCATACTCCCAGCTCACAACATAAACAACCCAAAACTCCCAGCAGGACAAGAGAGTTGCTGTTGTTGTCGTTAGATGCCGTTGAGTCAACGCCAATTCATGGTGACTCCATATACAACAGATCCAAGCCCTCCCAAATCCTGCATCATCCTCCCAATCTCTGCCTGTTGGTGCAGTCACTGTGTCAGTGACCTCCCAAGGGTCTTCCTCTCCTTTGTCGATCTTCTACTTTTCCAAGCATGATGATGTCCTTTCCCAAGGCCTGACCTCTCTGGATAATGTGCCCAAAATATGTGAGACACAGTCTCACTGTCCTTGCCTCGAAGGAGCACTCTGGCTACACTTCTTCTGAGACAGACTTCTTTGTTCTTTTGACAGTCCCTGGGATGCTCCGTATTCTTCATCAATATCATCAAAGGGGGAAAAAGTCATCAAAGGCATCAATTCTTTGACCTCCCCAATTCATTGCCCACCTTTCGCATGCATCTGAAGGAAGCTATGGGGTGGGGAGGACACCATGCTTGGGTCAGGTGCATCTTAGTCTGTAAGTTAACATCCTTGCTCTTTAGCACTTGAAAGAGATACTTTGCAGCAGATTTGTGCAAAGCAATATATTTTTTTTAAATTTCTTTTCTGCTGCTTCAATGAGTGTTAGTTGTGGATCCAAGCAGAATGAAATAATTGACAATTTTTATCATTTCTCTATTTATCGTGAAGTTGTCTATTGATCCAGTGGTAAGAATTTTTGTTTTCTTGAAGTTGAGATGTCATCCATACCAAAGGCTGTAGCCTCTGATGTTCAGCAAGTGCTGCAAGTGTTCTTCACCTTCAGCGAGCAACGTTACATCATCTGCATAATGCAGGTTGCTGATGAGTCTTCCGCTAATCCTGCTATTGGATTATTTGCTCAGCTTAAAGATCAGATAGGATACAACCTTCACACATACCCTTCCTGGTTTTAAATTATTCTGTTCAAACAACTTTTGAGAGGCACCAAATGATAAGGCTGTACTAGGAGACCAGCTAACAGAGTGGCCGAGGAGATGTGGGGAAGATGTCTGTCCCCTGAGGGCACAGGGAGGGAAAGAAGGGGCAGCAAGGGGAAGGGGGGACTGCTAAGGGCTCAGCCTCTCACCTGGGGACAAGTTAGAAATCAAGAAAGGATTCCTGCAGAAGACAAAGCCAAACTTGAGATGTGCTCATTTGTAAATGACCTTCATTGTTTCTGGGTCCGAATGAACGGAGGCTCCCTCCTTCCACTGGCTCGTCCACGCAATAATTAATTCCGTGTGTGAGGAATCAGACATTTGTGTGGTTTTGTAGGGGATCATGGGCTGAGGGACAGGCTGAGGAAGCTGGAGGGGACAGGAGCCTACTGGTTTCCAGAAGGGGAACATGGGGAAGGCAGAGAAATGTAGATGAAAGGGAGGTGAGAGGTGTGTGAGCCTGGGGGAGTTAGGGAGGAGATGACAAAACTGTCTCCTCCATCACCCAGCGAAACCTCACCAGCCTGTGTGACTTCAAGACTGCCAGGGACAGATTGGTGTCCAGGAATTGAATGACATGCTTGCAATTGGCCTCAAGACTAGCAAACTTTGTTATATTTATTACATTCCTTTTTTTAGTCGATTCCTTGCTGGAGGTTTATCCTTGAGTATCCTTTTTCCGCTTCCCTGTAGCTGTAGTCTTCTTGCCCTTGCGCTGTCTTTTTTTCACATATCACAGACTCTCTTTTCCCTGGAAGAGACGCTGTCAGTGTGCAAATGCCTCTCAATAGAGACTCCTACATCTCCTAGTGGTGACCACTTGTGGGACAACAGTCCGAGCCAGGCCCAGTGTCCTCCCCTAGGCCTCTCCTCGAAGCCGGGGGTTTTCTGCTTGCTCTGTGGCTACAGAGGCTCAGTGCTCAGGGCCTTGCCTGGAGCCAGACCTGTTTCTGTGACTCCAAAGCTCGTGTCAGGTCCTGGCTTCCCTGGCTCTGGACGGGGAACAGCAGATGGGTGTGAGGGTGGTTCTGCTGAAGCCAGGACTGAGCTGCCATCTGGGAAGAGGACTGCCTGAGCTGGTGTGGGGTGAGGAATGGAAAGGGCTGGGGCTTCCAGAAGGAGGGTCACTTCTGGGCATGTTCAGTTACAGAAAGCAAGATGGTGCCCAGCACTCATTGATTGTTAGCTGCTGTGCGGTCAGGTCCTGGCTAGTGGCAAACCCACCCCATGCACAACAGAACCCTGTGCAGTCCAGCCCTGCACTGTCCCCATCGTCAGCTCTGGCCTGGGCCATTGTACTGGTCAATGACCCATTTCTGTGAGATCACCAGGCCTTTCTTCCTAAACCCCCTTAGTCTAGAGGCCCTACTGAAAGCTGTTGTGGGTCATGTTGTTGGCATTGTGTGCCGCTAGGTTGGAACTGATCCATAACTGATCCTCCAGTGGGTTTTCAGAGGCGGTGGAGATTGCCCATCCTTCTCCTGTGGAGCAGCTGGTAGATTTGAACCGTGTGCCTTTGGGATTGCAGCACAGCTTCTTACTTGGCCACCAGAGCTTCCTGTTGTGCACACACTTTCAGATGTGTGGTTCTGTGTGTGAGATGCCTTCCCTGGCCAGGAGGTGAACCTAGGCTCCCATACAGACGGCAACCCTAGAAAAGCCACAGTGGAATCAGGCTCCCAAGGGTTTTCAGTGGCTGTTTTTTTTAAGACGTGGTTTGCCAGGCCATTCTTCTGCAGTGTCTCTAGGTAGACTCGAAAGGCCAGCCTTTTGGTTAGCAGCTGAACACGTTCACTGTGTGCACCACCTCTGGACTCCCAGCATCCCTGGCCTGCTGGGGGCTCCTCCAACCACCCTGTAAGACTGTTCTCTTCCTCCTCTTGAAGAAGAGGCTCAGGGAGGGGGCCATAACAGAGGCAGGTCACAGCACAACTCAAGAGGAAGCAGCAAGGGCAGGTCTGCCTGGTGTCTTCAAAGCTGAAGTGCTCGTCTTACACCCAGCCGCCTGGAGGTAAAAAGAATCTCTGTGGAAGCAGCATCTGTGGCCCAGAAAGGCTGAGGTGCCTGAACCAGGCGCAGGGACAGGAGGCGGCCATCCCTGCGGAGCGGAGGGAGCGCTCAGCAAGACGGATGAGCCCATCGCAGGCAGCAGGCGGGCAAAGTGCCAAGGCGCCAGGCAGTGATTGATGAGGACATCCAGACAGCAGCGAGATGAGCAGCGGCCTCTGGGGGCTGCAGGGGAGGCTGAGGAGGGGCTATGAATATTTCAGAGACTCAGCAGAGCTGGAGGGCTGAGGGGTGTGGGGGAGGGGAGGCGCCCAGCCCAGAGGAGGGGGCTCTGGGAGATGCCTCAAAGAGAGACAGAGGAGGGGGGCTGCTGGGAGATGCAAGAAGAGGCCCTGTGAGGGAGAGGGTCAGAAGGGAAGGGGCTCCAGGAAGGGGCATAGAGGCATAGTGTGGGAGGTAGGGCAGGGGAAAAACTGGGGCAGAGGGCTTCACCAGGGGAAAGTCTTGGCTAGGGGGATGTCTCAGAAGGTGAGAATTTAGGAAATGGGTGTGAAGGCTGAACCTCTCCCTTCTTTTTTATTTGTTCTGGGCTGTCAAGGCCAGGCCAGGGCCAGAAAGGAGCTCCCCACAAGACAGTCTCCATGTGGCTGTGGGGTCAGTAAGAGGCGGCAGGAGGCCCAGTGCCTGGACTGGCCTGGACAGGGTCTGGCTAGTAGGCACATGAGCCTGTGTGGCAGGGACAAGGACCCACCTACCAGAGACAGGGGCCATGGACTGGCAGGGACAGGGCCCCAGCTGGTGAGGACTTCAAGTTGGCAAGGACAGAGGCCTGGCTGGCTGGGAAAGTCAGGGATCATGCAGGGTCAGGGGCCATGGACTATTGGAGACAGGGGCTCAGCTGGTGGGGACGTCAGATTGGCAAAGGACAGAGGCCAGGCTGGCTGGCAGGGTCAGGGGCCATGGACTAGTAGGAATAGTGGCCCACCTGGTAGGGACAAGGACTCAGCTGGCAGGGAAAGGCACCCCAGGCTGGCAGGGACAGGACCCTCAGGATGGCCAGGACAGGGGCCCAGCTGATGCAGACAAGAGCAATGGACTGGTGAGGACGAGGGGTCGGCTAGTGGGTGACAGGTATCTCAGGCTGGTGAGGACAAAGGCTCACCTGGCAGGAACAGGGACCCCAGGCTGGCATGGACAGAGACACCAAGCTAGCAGAGACAGAGGCCCAGCTGATGAGAACAGGGATCCCAGGCTGGCAGGGACAGCGATCCCAGGCTGATGGCAAGCAGAAGACCAGTGGTGGTGAGTGTTCCTGTCACCCACTCCCTCAGCATGGCAGAGACCCCACGGTTGACCGAAGGTGCCGACCCGGGCCTCGAGTACGCAACCTTCGACGAGGATGACGGCCCAGTGGACTGTGACTGCCCTGCAGCCTGCTATCGTGGACAGCGGGGGTACAGGTCAGCGGTGGCCGGGTGTGGGGCTGGGGCGTAGACCCGTGGATGCCCCTCACCCACCCCCACCCCCGACCCTTCTCACCCAGGACCAAGCACTGGTCCAGCAGCTCGGTGTCACCCCCTCCCAAGAAAAAGAAGAAGAAGAAAGGAAGCCACCGGAGGAGCCGGTGAGAGGCTGGGGGTCCGAGGGGTTGCTAGTGGGACCTCTCTGGGGGTACATATCCCTCTGTCCCCAAAACCAGACATGTGGATCCAACTAGGCCCTGTTCCATCCACCTATTCTTGGTTCCCCTCTTCCCTCCCCTGGAGGTCTTGAACCCACCACCACGTGAGTTACTGGGGAGGAGAGGGTTGGCTGTGCCTCACCTGTTGGTTCCCTCAAGATGTTCCCTCTTCTTCTACCCTGACCTGAGACCCTGGCAGGGCTCAGAGGCCCAACTAACCCTGCCCATGTGTCTGTCTGTCTGTCCTTCCTTTCTCCCTGGGCATCACCTCAGAAAAAAGAGGCGACTAGACTCGGAGTGCAGGTCAGTGAGGGAGTGGGGGAGGGGCCGGGAGGCAGGGGTGTCCTGGGAGGGAGAGATTTGGAGTCCATCCCCCAGAGGCAGGAGGCTTAGCCCGCCCCCAGCCTGAACCCTGGGCATCACCAACATGCCAGCCTTCCCTCAATAGATGCTGGAAATCCCATCCATAGAGTCTGTGACTTTTGGATTGCAAACAGTCCTCTGACACAATGCCAAGAGGGATGGAAGGGTGACTGGGGCAACACAGGCAATGCCCATCTCTCACCCTTGGGGCCCCTCCCTACTGTGGGGCCTCAGGTCCCAGCTGCACTACAAGCCCCAGGCTTCCCGCATTTCCCAGCGGCTCCTGCTCCCCTGCCCGGCCCAGCCTCACCAGAGCCCACGCTCTCTGTGCCCACAGCTGTGGGAGCGTCTCACCCCTACGCAAGAAGAAGAAGAGCGTGAAGAAGCACCGTAGAGACAGGTACCCTTGCTCTCTGCTCCATCCCCCCCAGGGCCTCCTCTCAGGTGAAGATAAGGACAGCTCACGGGGTTCACCAGGGGGCCTAAGAGAACCTCTTATCACCTTTCAGGTCTGATTCTGGGTCCCAAAGGAAGAGAAGGCACAGGTGAGCAGTGCCCTGCAGTGAGGTGACAGGAAAGGTATGGATAGAGGCTGGTGCTCCCCCGTCAGGGCTGAAGTCTGAAGGAAGCAGTAATGAGAGGGTCTTGAGGGGGTACAGAAAGGGCAGGCTCCTCCCCCTGCCAGCCTCTCACTCTGGGTAAGGGCTCCTCCCCAGAGCTAGGTATGAGATTAGGGGATCAGGAAGGATGAAGACCAATCATTTGAACTTTTGCCTGCCCCATGAGTCAGCTTTGATCCGATTCGAATCCCTGTGCTGTCTTGGCCTCAGCAATGTCCAGACAACTGTCAGTAGGTGTCCAGGGGATGTGTCTGTTCAAGTACCAGTAGGAAATCAGAAGCGTCAGGCCCCGCCGCGCTGTGCAGAGAGCAAGGAGCTGCCAGGCAGGCCCTGGGTGAGCTAGGCAGACACAGTGGGTAGGCGGCCAGTGGATGAGCTGTAGCTAGAACTGGGGTGTCTGGGGCAAATGTCAGCCCCCAACGGGCCTGAGTGTCAGGTCTTCAGGTCATGGAGCTGGCTTGCATTGAGGTGGAGCTGGGAGTCCGCATGGGGCTCTGATCAAGGCAGTCATTTCAACATGGATTGAGGAAGGGACATGCAGGGATCCAATCAGAATCAGGGTGGCCAAGGTGGACAAAGGGATGCTGAGAAGGTGGAGAACTCAGGGCATAGAAGCTCTGTCACAGCTCCAGTGTGGCATCCCAGCCAAAGCCCGTCCCTGGCCGTACTGAGGGCAAAGGCCTATCCTTGCAGTGAGTGGCAGTTTCCCCAGGATCACTTGCTGGGTAGTGCAACTCCACTCCACTCACTTGGTTGCTGTCAGAACCAACTCACAGTTGACCCTCCAGTGGACCTGCGCTGTAAATCACTGGGGGGTGGGGGGGGTGGGCGGTGGCCCATCCTTCTCCTGAGGAGATGCCAGTGGATTCAGACTGCCAGAGGCACCACTTTGGGGCTAGAGCACAACTCCCTATGGACTCCATCGCCAGAGCTCCCTGCTGGGTACTGGGGGAACCTAGGCTCCTCAACTGGTCTTTCCAGATTCCTTTCATTTCCTCCTTTCTCCATAAGGGCCTGTGTGGACCCTTCCTGCCCCCTAGTGGTTACACGGACCCTCCAGCCAACTGACATCAAAGGGACCTAGATAAATCTTGGGAGGCCAGAGCTAGGACAGCTTTAATCAGGGAGGCTCCAGTCTCAATTAGACAAATTGGATTCCAGAACTTAAACTTCTGCCCTTTGGGCCTGCTCTCATCCATTCTGCTCCTGTGGAAACATGCTTCACAGGGAGCTCTGGTGGCCTAGTGCTGTGCTATCCCAAAGGTACGCAGCCACCAGCTGCTCCACAGGGGGAAAATGAGCCATCAATCCCCTCTGGCCCGATTTCCTGACTCAGGAAACCCACTGGAGGGTCAGTTGGCTCCGGCTTGACAGCACACAACAGCCACCATCATCACCATGGGGGCTCGTCCTCAGCACTGGCGAGCTGAGGCTCTGAGCTGGAATCTGGTGACCAGAGAGATGGGGCTGAGACACCACAGGGACTGAGGATGGGGTGGGGCCTAGTCAGAACTTTCTGAATCTTTCTTTCTTCAATAGATGTAGCTGTGCTGTGGGGGCTGTCCTAGAGTAACCCAGGGAGGGATATAATCTTTGGGCAGTATGAGATATGGTTCCAGAGGAAATCCCCAAAAGCAAGGGGGGCTGTACCCAAGAGAAAGCATTTCCTTCCTAAATCCCTGATTGGCTGGTCCAGGCCTGAGCCACTTGAGACATCATGGATTCAGGAGGGGGGGGCATATGTGAGGTGTAGAGAGGCCATTTCCACACACGATACACGGTGGTCTATGCCAAGGCCCACGCCAAAAAGAAAAGGAGTTACCCTTTATACCTGGCCCAGACCAAGGCCCTGAGGCTAACACATTTTAAAGCAACATCCCCTTCTTCCAGGGTCTTACCACCCCATCTAATCCACTCAGAGTAGTGGCCAGGGTCCTTGGCAGGAAGTAATCCCAAGGTCAGGACTTACAGAAGGAAGGGCTGGGGACCAGAGAGTGGCGCAGCAGGAACAGGCAAATTGGAACCCACCCTCCAGTGAGGAATAAATCTCAGTTCTGCAGCCTGGGTACAGGGGGCTCCAGGGCTCAAAGGTCATACCCTCCTGTCCGCCTCAGACTTCACTGTGATCTCTGCTATCTGCAGATCTCGAAGCCCCAAGAGCAAAAGAAAAGAGAAAAACAAAGAGAGGAAGAGGTGGGTACCCTCCCCCACTCTCCAGCCGGCATCCCCATCCCCCTCAAGCATACCTAGTAAACCTGGACTCTAAAAATCACAGAATCTGACCTTGTAAGTACCCTTGCCCAAGTGGAAAAATTGAGGCCCAAAGGTGAAGCCAGGGATTTCCAATGTATCTGTGGCCGAGCTAGATCTCAATGAGGTCTCTTGTCTCTCAGCCCAGAGTCCTTTCAAGGTCTTTTGACTGAAAAGTCCTACTCAGTCCTGTCACCCACTCCAGTCAGGGCTCCTGTATGGGCTAGCACCCCTGAGGGCTGAGCCCCAGTGAGGGGCTGGCACAGTCTAGAGAAACGATTACCTTTTCCTGAGGCTCACAGACAACGCAGATGGAATAACTGGCTCTGCGCCCTGCGCCTGCCTCATTAGGGAACCCGGGTAGGAGCCTGCAGTGCTGGGGCCACAGAACGTCCCTATGATTCCCATGGGGAGGTCTGGCGACTTGGGACCCAGGTTGGGCAAAGCTCGGATACAGGCTGACTTCTCTTCCTTGCGCCAGGCTGCACGGGGAGTCCCCAGGCCGGAGGTCCCATCGCCACAGCAGCGGCAGCTCCCATAGCCCCTCCCTCTCCTCCCACTACAGCGATTCCGGGTCACCCAGCAGGTAGGCGCTGGGGCTGAGGGGCCCAGAGGGAGTTCCAGGTTGGTGTTGTGCTTGGTAGTGGAGGGGCGAGAGCGAGCTTGCCAGGGCCTAGGAAGTGGGCTGGAAGAGGAGTGGACAGGCCATCCATCCAGCTTTGCACGCGAGCGATAGTGCCCACCAGAGGGTTTGGAAGGGGAGGAAGAACTGGAAATCAAGGTGTGGAGGGCTCAACCCCGTGGTCCCTGCAGCGTGGGCCCTTGCTCTCTCTAATGGGTGCAGGGGCGGAGGGGAGCAGCGGCTGGTAAAGGTGGGCGTCCCACGCGGGCTCCCTGGTGACCCGTCCCCACAGGCTGAGCCCCAGGCCCCGAGACGAGGGGCGAAGGACAGGCAGTCAGCGGTCCAGCGGGAGCCGGTCGCCTTCCCCGTCCGGTGGCAGTGGATGGGGGTCGCCCCAGCAGAACGGCGGCAGCGGGCAGCGAAGCGGAGCGCACGGGGCGCGCCCGGAACCTGCGCAGTCCCCGCCCGATGTACGTACGCTTCACGGTCCAGAGCGGTGAGCGCGGCTGGGAGGGGGTGGGCGGAGCGAGCGACGGAGGGGCGTGGTCACCATGTAGTGGGCGTGGCTATAGCTGGGAGGGCGGGGCGAGCACTCCCCTCACCCTCTGTGCCTGGCAGGAGACGTCCTGGGCCAGGAACCCCTCTGTTCTCAGTCCGCGCGCCCACGTGGTACTAGTATCCGGGTGGCAGATTCCCTTGAACTTGGCGAGCTGAAGGCCAGAGAGAGGTTGACCACGTTCAGCAAGATGGGAACCAAGCGGGGAGGAGCCCAGCCTCCCGGGGCGCATCGGGGAGGGAGGGGCTTCCGTGGACATCGGTAGGGGTCAGTCAGGAGCAGTATTCAAGAGACAGGGTCCCCCGTGGGTCGCACTTGGGCCCTGGGCCTCCCTTCCTTCACCAAGCCTTTTCCCCTCTCTGAGCCTCCTCCTCCCTCTCTTTTGGACCCTTCCCCATTTCAATCCCCTTGCTGCCTGAGTCCCTGTTCCAAGGAGAATGGTCCTCCCACACTTGGGCAGACTTCCTAAAACTGCCGCTGGCTATCCCGATAAGACACTTCCCGGAGCCCATTGCTCTCTGAAAATCCAACACCGTCATCCACAAACCTGCCTATGCACCCGCTAAGAAGGGCACAGATCCCTGGAGAGCCCCAGCAAACATGGGACCAACTAGGCCGAGGAGGGGAATCTCCCAGACCCCAAGGAGGGGGTGATTCACTGGTTGGTCAGAGGGTAGAGTTGAGACCCATAGAGAGAGGAGGTTCAGGTACTGGCAAGGGCTCTGGGTGGGCACATGGGCCTTGAGTGGGGTGGCCTGTAGGTTCCTCCCAAGGCCTGCCCCAGATGCCTCAACTGGGATGGGAGAGTCGCCCCACCCCGACCTCAGGTCTCAGCAGCGAACCTGTACGTGTTGGTCGGTTTCATTTTAATTTTTGGCTGTCTCCTTTCACTTCCTTTCTTTTTCTCAAACATCCTTCCTCCCATGCCTCAGAGAGAGAGGAAAGCAGGGACAGCTGGCAAAGACTCTCGGCCTCAAGGTTAACTTTTATTTAAGGACATGAGTTGTCTCTAGACTGTCCCTCCTGGACAAGACACCAGGCTCCTGGACGCTTTGGGGCTTGGCTGGGTCACGTGGAGAGGATCACACGGTGCCCTGAATCTGTTCTGGGGCAGCAGAGGACACCCAGGTAGTGGAGAGCAGCCGTGGCAGGGACTGGTTCTGGGCTGAATCACAAGCCCCAGAGATGATGAGCTGAAGTGGGGGTACTCAGGAGAGGAGTGCACCTGCCCCTACTCCATGGCCACAGAGTCCAAAGGCGGAGTGCACCCAGCACTTTGTCCTCAGAGCACCACATCCTCCTGTGGCCTCCTGAGAGGCTAGGGCTGAAAGGAAAGCCCCTTACAACTCCTGGTCTCCTCTCCAGCCCTGGAGGGCTGAGCAAACCCCACTTCCCATACCCCATGCACACAGAGGGGCCCTGGGCTTATGCAGATAAAATGACCACAGCTCGGCCCCCAGGAGAGATCTGTTAGAGAAGGGGACCCAGACCTTAGGGAGGAAGCCTCGGGCAGCATCCAAATCTTCTCTCCTTCCCAAAATGAGACTATCTTCTGGCAGTTTCCTGGGGAATGTTCTGGAAGACAGCACTTTGTCATACCTTTCACATAACATAGCCCCCAAATCCAATTCTGAACTGTGGACTCCGGGAGGTCTCGGAACCGAGGGCATGCCAGTCCTCTGACTTGCACACTATCCCACCTTCTTGCCTCTACTCCCTCCTGGAAAGACTTTCTGTGGAATGAATGAACTCCCTGCAGGTCCAGGGAGGTGAGATGGGGGCAGGGGTCTAGTCTTTTGCCAAATAACAAGAACTTTGGGAACAAGTCCAGGGGGTGGTATTCTTGGACACTACCTTTAAAAAGAGAGCAAGAAAAAAAAAAGGGGAAAAAAAGCTCAACATTTTTTAACCCAGTCTATGTTTTTGTTTGTTTTTTAGCCTCCCATTTGAAACGTGGTAATATTGTGATTCCATTTCTTGTTTAGCAGGCCAGGGAAGAGGGTGGGCGAGGTTTTGTAACTTTTCCTGTTATTTTGGTTTTGTTGGTATTTTTTTTTCTTCCTTTCTTCCTTTTTTCCCCTTTTGTAATGTACAGAAATGCAAACTATCTCGTTTTGTTTTCTCTCTTCTCTGTTGTTCTAGAATTTTGCTTTTGTGCGTGTTTACTGTGGGAACCTTTCCTCCTCAATGCAGAGATGGGTTTTGAATTTCAAATGATCATTAATCATATACATATCTCTCCCTGTACTCTTTTTTCCCCTCTTTGTAATAAGAATTTAAAAGGGAAGATAACTCTAAAAAAGGCTGAATCCCGTTAAACCACAAAACAGCTCCTGCCAAATCCACTGCAGCAACTGGCCTCTCCCCAGTCCCAGGGCCCGGCACAGAACAGCTTTCAGATTAGCAAGTGGTGTCACCTGTACTTCTCTGTCCTCACGTATAATGACCCTCAGAGAGAAACTGACAGACTCTGGGAGAAGAGATTTCATTTGCAGCCTGAGTCACACAAGGGAGCTTCCTGCATCTTCTCAGATCAGTCTAGCTGCTGAGTCTGGACAGGATGGGGACAGGAAGAGGGAGGTGACTCAGCACCTTCAGTCTCAGGGCCTGAGATCCTGAGGAGGTCCCACTGGAGGGGGCTGGAGGCAGCTGAGTTCAGCTCAGGTGAGGAAGGCAGAGGCTCCAGGCCAGAGAAAAGCTCCCTTCTTCCTGCTGAGAACAATGCGGTGACTCCCAGTGTATCTGTTTGCTGTACCATCCAATGCCAAGGGCAGGGGACCTTCTGGGTCCTTACGCTCACAGGTGGCAAAACTGCAGCACAGAGTCAAGTGACTGGCTCAAGATCACACAGCTATTTCGAGATAGATTCCAAGGGTGACTCCAGGTCATGGTCTCAGGATCATCAACTCCAGAGACCCTGAGCTAGAGCAGAGGGGAAGGATCTGGAAAGGCCCAGACCCTGAGCCTGTCTGAGACCAAGGCATAGGTGGGCCAAGCTGACTCAGGGACCCTAAGGTCATGCCTGTGTACGTAGAGAAATGAGGAGGGGGTAGTGTGGAGTCCGGGAGCAAGATGCCAAAGAGGAAACCTCATGGGACAAGTTGTCCCATCCAGCCTCTCCTGGTGCCTTCGCTGACCCCCCTTCAGCCCTTAAAAGTAGAAGTTGGCCCCACCCTCCCTGAGTAGCCTGAAAGAGTTTTAGAAACAGAGCCCTCCCCGGCTCCATCTGTCTCTGGGATTAGAAGTGTCAGAGAAACCCCAGAGTGAACTATTGGGCAAGAGTGGCCAAGGGACAGATGAGGCTGCGAGCAGGTCCAGGGAATTCTCTGGCTGAAATTTCATCACATAATAGGGACAGACCCAGGAGGGAGGGGACCAAGAAGCGGTGCCCATCATTAGTACTCCCTGACCTACCGGCCTTCTTCCAAGTCTCATTACCAGCCCCTCCAGAGAAGGGCAGTGACTGCAAGTAAAGTGAGGGGACCCCTTAGCATTTCAGGCAGGGTACCCCTCTTGATTCCCAATGCAAAGGACAATCTCCTCCTGTACCAGTCAGATCTGATTTGACGGTACACACAAAAAATAATGAAATTTTTTAAAAAAAGATGGCTTTGACTAAAATGATGCTGAAGTTAAGAGAAGAGGCCTGAAGCATAATTGGGGCAGAATCAGTCCTCCAAATTGAGTCAGTGACTGCTTCCCTTTTAAAATCACAGTTCTCCTCCCCTCCCTATCTGTCCCCTCAGATTGGCCTGGTAAGCAGCTCTCTCTGTCCCCGTGTCCACCTTTCTCACTCTTTCCCTGTCTCTGTCTTTCGGCCTCCCACTTTCTGTTTGCCTCTGTTTCTGCTTCTCTCGCTGATTCTCTCTCTTCCTGCGTCTCTGTCTCTCTCTCAGGCCTCTCTTCCCACGGCTGCAAGCCTGTCATTCCATTCACCCTCTGGTTCTGCTTCCATTCGCTGCTTCCTGCATGCCCTCTGGAGGTTTTCTGTTGTTTAAAGGCTTAAGGAAAGCTTGGCTATTGAAGTCAATGGATTGAAAAATAATAATAATGATAAAGTGGAAAAAAATGGCTAAGCCTGAGTGAGCCCCTGCCCATCCTGGGGGGGCGACCCAAGAGCCACATCGGCTGCTGGCTCAGTGGGGGCGTGCAGTTTAGAGTCACTGTCTCTCCCCCTTCTGCATTCCCAATGCGGAGACCTTCTTTTCTTTTTTATTATTGCATTCCTGTCCCTGACCGCTGAGAAGGTAGGTATCCCTCCCATCAGACCAGCCCCGCCACTCCGCTTGGTTTGAATGTGGTTCTCTTTCTCGCTCTTTCTCTTAATCTCACTCTGGTTGGTTGTGGTTTTATCTCTTCCCTCCCCTTTTCTTTATTTATTTCAGTGACTACTCATTTGTAACTTGCATTTTCTCCAAATGAGCTGCAAAGCTGTATTTCCTGGTTTGTCATTTCGTTTTCTTGACTCTGCCCCTCCCTCCCATGCCCCCACAACTTTTCTGGGTCATTCTTCCCTCCTTTCCATGTTCCCTGCCCCTCTTCCTCCCTCTCCACCCCTTGCCCGTGTTCCTTCGCTCCCCTTTCTCATCTTGTTGTCCGAATGCATTTCTGTGTGATGCAGTGCCCCCTCTCTGAACGATATGGTATGCTGCGGTGGAGCCAATTCGGTTTCTGTTTTCTGGATAACTGCCTACACCCTTCAACTCTGACAGCCCCTGGGCTCGAGTCATCCTGTTGGCTCTGGGAGGGTCCACCTGGGCCTTGGGGCCTTCTAGGCCTCCAGAGTTTGGATGAAGTTCTAGCTGAGCTTACCCATCAGGGAAGAGCCTCATCCCGACCCCTTAGGGTGACTGGAAGCTTCCCTCCATCCTTCTTTGGTGGAAAGAAGGAACAAAGGCTCCCAATAGCAGGGAGCTGATGCCAGGGCCTAACCTGGCCAGTCTTCTGGAAGTGATGATAGTTGAATCTCAGGAGTAAGCTGGCCAGGAGCAGAGGTCACAAAGTCTGAGGAGCATTGTAGGGTCTCCCCCATACTCACTGGGTCAGGTCTCTGAGCACCCCCCTGTCCCTCCCCCGACTACACCCCACTGGCCTTCCTATCTTCTGGGCTTCTGCAGCTTCCTGTGGTCTCTCCACAAAAAGTGAGCCAGAGTGGACGGTCAGAAAAGGGTCAGGGCACTGCAGCATAATCAGGCCTGCTCCAGGCAATGTGACTTCCACCCAGTGCTCTCAGTCACATTGAGGTATCAGAATCAGGGGTGCGCCCTGACAGACCCCACCTCCTCACCCTTGTGCCTCTCGACTGCTTTCTGTCCTCCCTGGTGTTTGGCATCTCAGCTTTTGTGAGGCACAGAGGGCTTTGAAAAGGTTAGACCCAACTCAGCTTGTTTAGCGTTGACCCCAGGTGGTGCTGGGAGAGCAGTAAAGGCAGCCTTTCCTCAGAGAGGGGGAAAACTCTGCTGGTCTGATGGCAGTGGGGAGGGGAGTAGAGGGTCCATCTTTAAGAAGTGTCTGATATGAGCCAGGACGGCAGATGTGAGGCACTTGAGAACTGAGCTAGTGGTCTGAGGCCTGAGAAGCAAGGATAGAACATCCCAGACAAATGCTTACTTGTTCTTGTGTCTTAGAGTAGAGGGAGCGGGTGACACTCCACCTCTGCTGCTCTTTTTTTCTGACCCTCAAAATGTCTTCTTCTTGTTGTTGTTGTTAGGTTCTGTCGAGCCGCTTGTGACTACAATATCCCTGAAACCTGCCCTCCCCTGTGCCAGCTTTACTGTCTCTGACACACCTGCCCTCATAACGAAAGCAAAAGAAAGGATGCCAAGTAGAAAGCAGCACCAAGGAGCAGAGGCTTCTGGGAGCACCACTGAGGCAGGCAGGGTCCTCCTTCACCCACTCACTCGTTCACTCCCCATTCATACATGACTAACAAGGCTTGGCTGAGCACCACCTACCAGGATGTCCCTGACAGGAGAGGGGCAGGCTAGCCTGGGTCTGCAGCCCTCACCCCCCAGACTGAAGACACGACTCAAAATTATGAATATGGAGAGCTCAAGGGGCCTCCTGCCCTAGCACACGGTCTGGCCAAGAGTCCCTGTTAGATCAAAGAATATGGGATTCTGTGGGATCACAGAGGCCTGTACCTGTCAGCCCGAGGTAGGGGGGCAGTCAGGAGACACTTCCTGGAGGAGGTGATCTCTGAGTTGCTGTCAGCATTAGTCAGGCTGTGAGTTAAGTTTCACACAGCCATGCCCCCGGTTCCCAACATAGCACTCCCGTTGAGAAGAACCCGGTGACTCCATATTTGCCTTTCAAAGTGCCCACTCATCACCCAGTTCCCTTACCCTATGACACCCCAGTGGTAAGGTAACTTAGGAGTGGGAGTCACAAAAGGTGGGCTTCCTGGAGATGGTGTTTGTAGATCTCTGGGTCACCACAGTCTTGTCCAGCTATGAAATCCCCTGGTTTCTAGATCTTGTTCTTTTCTTAATGGCTGAGGAAAATGAGACCCGGCCAAGCTGAAGACCAGGCTTGTCCTTCTGGTAGACTTGCAGTGACCCTTCCTCAAGAGTGTCTAGGTGGATGAGGAGACATGAAATTGGCTCAAGGGGCTTCCTCCTGGTCCCTCAGGGAAGGTTCAATCCACCCCCTACCCAAAAGCACCTTCCTGCCATCCCCTATCTTGGCACTTGGGGGAATCCTTCATGGGACCTTTGGCCTTGTACCTCCCTAGCTTTACACAGACCTATCAAGCAAAGACCACATTTATTCCCATTTTACTGGAAGAGAAACTGAGGCCCCTAGAGTAAAATCCCCTTTCGGTTCCACAGTAAACCAACATCAGGCCTGATTTTAAGGTGTTCCGCTTTGCCCACTGCTATCCTCTGAGGCTGTTTACAGACCAGTTGGCAAGTCAAGAAAGAGAGAGGGAAGGAAGAAGCACCTGGACACCAGGCCAGGCAGGGGTGTCCTGCCCAGTACAGAGGACCTAAACGGGGCCAGTAACATGGGACGAGAATCTGGGTGGGAGCCACCCCCTGGTGCCTAATTTTAGCCTCTGCCCACTTGCCTAGCAGTCTCCCTGACCAAAGCAGCAGAGAACATAGTGACTCTTTGAGTCGGGTTTCTGTTTCTTGGTTTGAGGTGCCTGTCCACTCACCTCATTCCCTCACTGGCAACAATATGGCAGAAACCAGACCTATGAGGAGCCTGGTGGTCTCTTTTTTATTTTTTCCTCTGAAGGGAAAATGATGCTGAGAGGCAGAACCTAGTGCTGGGGACATGCAAGCTGTGAGGTACCAGCTGGGCCGCCTACCCAACTACTTGGGGAAGGTGTATAATAGAAGATGAGGTCTCCTGGGGATGCCTGCTGAGAACAGATTTTACAGGGACCATGGTTATAACCCCCAACTCCATCTCTCTGAGCCTAGGGTGACTTAGAAGAGTTAGGAGACTCAACTGAGAGAAACAGCTCAGTCCCAGGTGCTTCTGCCCCAGAGACAATGGCTGGCCCAGGAGAGGTGTGGATGGCTTTGGGCCGTTCCCACTCACTACTGCCAATCCTCAGCTGGCTGGACTGTCCACCCACAGAGCTAACCTCTGACCCTCCCCCTCCACTGTCCAGATTTGCTGGAAGCCTGCAGAGGCCTCAGCACCACTCTGGCCCCTACAGGCAGCACCAAGTCATGCCAAGGAAACCCACCATTCTGGGTCCCTGGCTCCCACATGTCCTGAGAAGTGCCAGCCAGTGTTTTGCATTGCAAAGGCTGGGGTCTGGCCCTGGCCCCTTTCCTAGGACTCCTCCAGGCTGAGGTCTGGTTCTCTTAATGGCATTTCTTCCCTCACCAAACGGTGTTGAGCTGACGGGCTCTATTGCCAAGTTTTGTGATCAACTGAGCTTAAGAGCAGAATCCAAAAGCTCCGCCCTGGAGCTGCACAAAGTCAAGCTGGGGGCCCGGTGGGGGAAAGGTGACCTGTTAGCATAACTGGAGAAGGGGTCGGACTCTGGAGGGAGGGGGGAAGGGAACGGGTGCTCGTGGGGGCACACAGAGAATCCTGGAATATTGGACCTGGATGGGACATTGGAAAACAAAGCCCAGGCCTCGGATGTTGCAGAGGGGGAAACCCAGGCCCAGAAGGAAATCAAGACTTGGCCAGGGTCACTCAGCGAGATAGCAGCAGGCCCAGACCCCTGGTTCCCAGGCAGGCAGGGCCCTTTTGTTGGTACCTGGTGCCCTTTTTTATTCTCTGGATCCCATTCCACGTGTCCTAACTCCATTTTTGGAAAAGCATTTAATTATCTCTGCCGAGCGGTCACTCTGGAGGCGCCCGCTCAGGCCCGAGGAGCCGGGTGCTGCCTCCTCTCAGGCCTATTAATGGGGTGGTTGCATTTCTCTCTCTCTCTCTATCTCTCTTGCGTTTTTGTGAATCTAATGATGAACTTATGCTACCACACTTTTCCCTTTTCTTACACACCTTACCTACTAAAGGAGGAAGTGCCACTTTATTGGTAAGTGGACGTTAACCAAGAGGGACTTAAAAAAAAAAATCAGAACCTTGAAAAATAAAAAAAAAAATTAAAAAAGAAAAGAGAGAAACAGAAAGACAGTCGGGTGCTACTGACAGATCCTCAGCTCTCTGCAGGGCCGGAAAACAAAGCAAGCAAAATATTAACAGAAAAATGTCAGTTCCCCAGGAGATAAGACATTGTTTTTTTATTTCGTTTGGTATCTAATGACATTTGTGGATTTCTTTTTATTTTTTTGGTTCCCCCCCCCTTCCTTTCTTCGGTTCAGTTTTGAGTTCAGTTGTTCCCCCATCCCTGCCCTGCCCATCTGTGTGCCGTGTTGTTCCTCCATGCCCCTCGACCACCCCCTATGCTGGGGGGGGCCAGGCCTGGCGGGCTGGCCCGACCGACCTCCTGGCGTCCCACCCTCTTTTCTCTCCACCGGGAATCGTCTGTCCCATCGGGGAGGATGCCAGCCCCGGTGCCCATCCTGGTGCTCCCTCCCTCCCGCCCCCCAAACCCCGCTCCGTCCCTCTTGTGTTTTGCATGCCAGAACCTTGCATGAGCTGCACTGTTGAGGCCAGAAGGTGGACACTCAGGAGAGGCAGAGGCAGGGCAGGCGGGAACGTGTGTGCGATGCCCGGGACTGGCAGCCCCCGCCTGGGCCCGGTGAAAGCCCCCTTTCCTTCTCTCCCCCCACCCACCCGTCCGCTCTCTCACCCCAATCTCTGCTCCTCTGTCCTCTCTCTGCCTCTTCTTTCTCTACCACCCTTTCCTTTTGCTAATTTCTCTGTTCGCGCGTCTCTGCTTCTGTGCGCGCCCCTCTCTCCTCTCTTGGATTCTCAATCTCTTCTGTTTTCTGGGTTCCCTCTCCTTTCTGTCTCCCCCTCTCTCGGCTTCTTTCTCCACTGTCTCTCTCCCCTCCGCTGTCATTCTCTCTGTCGCCCTCTCCACCCCCTCCGTGCCCTCTCTGCCTCTCTCCCCGTCAGAAGCCCAGCTCGCCCTCGCTCAGGGCCCGCGACAAGGCGGAGGCCGCGCCACCCACGCCGCCCGCGCGGGGCAAGGACAGCCCGAGCCCACGCTCGCCCAAGTCGTCGTCGCAGGGCCGGGGAGGCCGCGCGGCCGGTGGGCCAGCCAAGCGACGGAGGCGGAGGCGGCGGAGG